AAGCTTGGGTTGAACAAAAGAAAGCAAAAGCTGGATTGAACAAAAGAAAGCAAATTTATTTCTGAGCTTCTTAGTTCCTTTAAGCATGCTAATATACACAGTAAATTTTGTTAATACTAACAATGCAGTGTAAGTCTTCAATCTGGTATAATTGTGCCAAACATAATTACCAGGAAATGCTTTTGTTTTTCTATGGCATATTTAAGGCGAAAGTGAAACTCTCCCTAACTTATTTGCGGTTTGGTAAATTCCTCTAATGGTTATTCTGTTCTGCCTTCTGTTAGTGTCCTTATTTAACAATGACTCTTGATCTCTGAGTAGATAGGGAGCTCCTCTAGACTAGGTTGTCTATATTCCAACTTTTCTCTCAATTAGCTCCCCGAACAATAGAATGAATAGTTGAATTTTGAGAAAAAAGATAAGGCATATAAATAGCATGGTTTTTGGAGGAGAAACAGATAACTGGAAAGTGGCTGGAAGAGGACAGACAGGTGATCATTCAACAGACACTTTGGAGAATTATATAGTGTTTGAACCTCAGGTGAGTACTAGATATTACAAAAAGGACTTAAAAAGTAGTCCTCTTACAGGGAGTTTGACCTGATAGAAGAGATAGATGATTGATTGATTGATTGATGATAGATCGATAATTGTAACAAATATGAATCCTCTTATTGGATACATGAAAGGTTTTGCATGATGGTGTCAGTAAGGACTTCACAGCCCAAATCGGTTTTGTCTGCAGACTGAAGGATCCCAGGTTCAGTTCTGGTGAAGGGCACATCCCGGGTTGGTTGTGGGCTTGATCCCCCTTAAGGGGGTGTGCAGGAGGCAGCCAGTCAATGATTCTCTCTCATCATTGATGTTTCTATCGCTCTCTTCCCTCTCCCTTCCTCTCTGAAATCAATAAAAATATATTCTAAAAAAATTATATTTTAAAAAATCAATGGAAAAAATATCCTCAGGTGAGGATTTAAGTAATATTTGATCTGGGCCTGGAAAAATATCAAGCAAACAAAAAAGTGGACAGAGAAAAAAACATCTTAAATTAGAATGTTATGAGCAAATTTATGGAGGTATAAAAATACAAGAGTAAGCCTTAAGTCTGGTTTGGTTAGTTTCTGAATTCGCAATATAGGAGCATGATCTGGGGAAATGACTAGAGCGCAATCTGAAAAGGTAGACTGGATTCCAACTGATAGGCCAGACTTAAGCCATGCAAAGATCTTTAGGTTTGAGGGATTTTTTTTTTTTAATATATTTTATTGATTTTTTTACAGAGAGGAAGGGAGAGAGATAGAGAGCTAGAAACATCGATGAGAAAGAAACATAAACCAGCTGCCTCTTGCACACCCCCTACCAGGGGATGTGCCCGCAACCAATGTACATGCCCTTGACCGGAATCGAACCCAGGACCTTTCAGTCCGCAGACCGACACACTACCACTGAGCCAAACCGGTTTCGGCGGTTTGAAGGATTTTAAGCAAAAGAGTAACATGACAGATAACCTTTAGAACTGGAATTTGGATTGGAGTGGGGAATAAGGAGACCAGATAGTAAGTAGTTCCTTGTGGTTGTCTGGCCAAGAAATGACATGGGTTTGAATTAAGCCAGGAAAAAGAAGATAGCAAGGGTACTGTTTATAGTGACAACTTGATCCCTATCTCCCACCCTTAATTTATAAATGAAGTTACATGGCCTGGAGCTTGGGAGTACAGGAACACATTTCTTTATTTTTAAAGTTTATCTTTATTGTTGAAAGTATTACAGATGTCCTCCCTTTTTTTCCCCCACTGACCCTATCACCCCTAGTCCTTCAACCACACTATTGTTTGTGTCCATGGGTTATGCATATATGCATATAAATTCTTTGGTTAATCTCTCTCCCACACACACACCTTCCCTCTGAGATTCATCAATCTGGGAACATTTTAACTACCAGGGTCTGTTGGAACATAATCAAATTCATACTAATGAGATGTTCCCCTCCAGGGCTGAAGTTAGGTAATGTTGTGGTCTAGCCTGTCACACATTATGATGTTTCCAAAGACTTGGGAAATAAATAAAATTAGTAAAAATGCTATGTATGAACTTAAGGGGGGAAAGGTTTGTACCTGTATTCTTAGCAACGTGTAATTTCCTGCATCTTCTATTTAGCTTCTAATTAAGCAAACCTGAATGCTTGATTAAGCTGAGAGCAGGTTAGGGGAGAGGTTCCAGTGTGAGACCTGGGAGAAAAGAGACAAGTTGGTCAAGGCAGATTTGGCCTCTCAAGGATAAGCGTTTTTTTCAACTACCTGGGGAAGATTGCCCTATTTAGAACTTAGAAGTTTACCCCGAAAGTGATTTTATACAAAATTTTAGGATTAAGCGATAATACCTGACATATACTCTAAGCTAAATAGGTACATGGATAAGTTTAAAAGATTGCTTTAGGGCAGAGTAAATGGCCCAGGAGAAGAGCTAGAATGCCCTGGGGAAAAGTAAAAATACTAAGCAGGAAAAGGTCTCTATCGTTCATTCAACATAGTATTTTAAACATAAATTAGAGTGCTAGACCCTGGAGATTAAAAAATGGGTGATACTTTTCCTTGAGTGTAGTCTGATTGGGGAAGTACGCAGATGGTTACGATATAATGTGATAAATATTATGAAGTAATTGTGTTTCTCTAGGGGCCTCTCATGGTACACCCATGCCAGAGTAAATTGCAGCCTCCAGCCATTGCCCAGCCTCCTGAACTGTGAGCTGTGAGCACTGAAGGCATTGTACAATGTGTGTGTGGGGGGGGGGGGGGCATAGAGAGAGTGTAATTGTGCACAGGCATGAAGTAGGTAACCAGCTGCCTGGAGATTTAGATTTTACAGAGATGATGACATATGAGCTGGTTTTTACTTGGATAAGTATTTGCCAGGGCAAGTAAGAAAGGATTATTTCTAGACAGAAAGAATAGAGTGTACAAAGGCAAGGAAGTTAACAACAACAGAAGTGCTATGATTTTATGCCATTCCTATCAGGGCAAGATCTCAAATGCAGTTTCAGAATATGTTTAGTAACACTTGAAGGTGGCAAGCACCTATACCTCCATTTTGGGGATAGAAGCTAATGTTTGCAGATTTTGATTAGAGTGCTAGACCTGGAGATTAAAAAATGGGTGATACTTTTCCTTGAGATTAAAAAATGGGTGATATTTTCCCTTAAATTCAGTGTCAAACAGCATGAGTCAGGAGCAAGGAGCCCAGACCAGGTGCCCAAAAACAGGAATGCCAAATCTCATGCCCTGCCTAACTCTGTGTTATGGTAATAGATGGTGTTGGGTTCAGGAGAATTGGGGCTTATTTTAGTTCCTTAGAACCAAATTCTACACCTAAAATTGATATTGTAAGTCCTATCAAATGTTCTTATATTTCAAGAAGAGGTTGGGAAATCTGTGAATAAATATTTACTCCCACCATGTGAGGTAGGAATGGATTATGAAATACTCAAGGCTTCCTGACTGGTAGTCTGTCTAATTTGTATCATCAGAAGTTGGCTTAATATTTTTCTGAGATCATTCAGTACCTTTTCCATTTAACACACAATAGCAAGCAAGTCACTTTCTTCAGTAAAAACATTGTTTATCTTTAGTAGTTATTTTGCAGTTAGATTTGCTCAGAACTCCTACAGGTTATGAATCATTTGCATTCAGACATTGACTTTGCTCTTTCTGAGAAGGGTTTTAATAGAGCATATATATAGATGATATCTTGTTATTGATAGTTTCAGTGTCATCCTCAAATCAACTTCAGAATCTATGATAAACCTGAGAACTTGTGTTTCTCTTACCTAGTGTACATTCAAATAAACAAATAAACCATAGGATAAATTCAATTAAACATGATTAGCCTTTTGTGTAAATGTTTGAGGTTTTTCGTTATTGTGGGAGAGCATGGAATAAGGGACAACAAAACCCAAATGGTAATACCTAATCATGCAGTCATTGACCTGTCAAAAAATTGTGTAAAATTTAACAACTGCTGTTTTTCATTTGTTTCTGTAAATTACTTTATTTTTTTTAAACAAGTGTCTACTTGTTAGTGTAATCTGAGCATTTAGTTGACATATTTAGAATTAGAAAGGCTAACAGTTGTAAATATATTGGATTGTTTATGGGAGAGTAATTTTGGGTAAATCAACATGAGTTATAAGAAACAGTTTGATGGTGGTGCATCATGATACATTCTGAATTGCCCATCTTTATTGAGAATGTGGGTCAGAAGAGAGGGGAGGAGATATGACCTTATTTGTGCATTAAGTAATGACATAATGAGTGATATTCTTGGATTCTAGAGCCTGTCAAGAAAGAAGATATTTCAAAGTAAATATTTGAGGAGGAGAGGTGAGAGAGAGAGAGAGAGAGAGAGAGAGAGAGAGAGAGAGAGAGAGAGAGAGAGAGAGAGAGAGAGAATATGAGAGGGAGAAAAGATACAGAAAGATAACATGAATCCATCGAAAGATAACACAGCTATTATCTCAGGCTGTGGTCAGACCAGCTTCACTTTGGAACTTAAAAATGAAAACATATACTTGTTTTAGTTTTTGCTATAGCTTTTTATTTTACAAGTGTTCTGCCCCTGTATAAACAAATTCTAATCTCTTTAAATATAGCAAACCATCGGAAGGAAATCGTTTTGTATCTTGTTATTTACGAAACTTGCTGAGACAAACTGTTCCTAAAGCAGCTTAAACTATTACTTGGTATATGCTAGAAATTCAGGTGAAATAGGATCCCTCCCTTTTTTCCCCCAGGAAATAAATGAGTTGTGTTTTTAGAATTTCAAGAAGAAATTGACTTTCTCACACAGCATATGTTTCACAGTTTGTTAGGCACAATTGTGCATGTATGTTCTTTTCTTTACATCACATGTGGTGGTGGAGTGCCAGTGTTACTCCACTGAACTGATGAATGTCTGTCTGTCTTGGTTAGATCATTCTTACTATCTCTTCCTATTTCCTTACCCAGTTATGCTGTGATTGCCTATGGCTGTGCCAGCTGCCCAAAGCTGACCTGTGGGAGGGAAGGCTGCCAGACTGAGTTCTGCTACCACTGCAAGCAGATATGGCATCCAAATCAGACGTGCGATATGGCCCGTCAGCAGAGGGCACAGACTTTTCGAGTACGGACCAAGCACACTTCGGGTCTCAGTTACGGACAAGAATCGGGACCAGGTATAAATTGACATTTTCTCATTTGTCTATTTTATACTTCATACTTGTGAGCCCAAAGCTGGGAGAAATTACATTACTGTGTAATGAAGTATTTCCTGGGATCAGAGATCAGAAAATATTTGGCAATACTTTCAATATTATAATTGATATGTAACTTCCCTCTCTGACCATAATAGGTTATCCAACTTGAGTAAAATCAGAATACAACAAAATTGAATTGTCTGGTTTCCACCTTCTTAGTAATATGTCCAGGTTGGAGAGCAATTAGGTCCTTTGACTAGAAGCTTTTTGAAAACTTTAATTGTGAGAGAAGAAACATTTAATTAGTGTTTTAATCTGTAGTGTTTTCCTACTAGCTTTAAGTGCATCACACTTTTAGAAGTAGGGTACAGATCCAAAGACAGGAAATATTAGTATGGATTAATGATTAACCTTAAAATTAGGAATGTCACACATTCAGTTCCAACCTTTACAAGTCAGAGAAAACATTTTAAAATGTCAGTGGGTTTATTGCCTTTTATAAATGTACTTCACTGACGTCATTTGGGAGAGGCTAGGAGGAAAGATTTTACCATTCACTTTTTCCTGGCACAGCATCATCTCCTCAAATTGTCATTTTATAAGATAGTTCCTAGCTTGCTGTGAAGATTGCCAGGTGTATGCTACATAGCATACCCCATTGTTTTTAGGTTTTTAATTTGAAAGAATCTTGGGAAGGGACTGTGGGTTGCGGTAAGAGCAAATCACAATGAAACTTGCTGAGTCCAAGAAATGAATTTCCTGAACTAAAGTTTTTCAAAACAAAGGCCAATTCCAGTCTGCAGACTCTTCTTCCTGCTTGACTCTACTTTTAATTGTGCCAGCCTTTTGGCTGATGAAATTCCATTTTTCTTGAAACCATCTTTCTCTAGGGAAGTCTCCTTGCTGAGATTATGGCTCGAGTGGTGTGTAAGATGCCAGTTTTTGGGATAGGCAGCTTGATACAAGATAGGATCCATTTAGTGAAATTTCCTGAGGCCTAGACATAGCCAGCCTTCCAGTGAAGTGGGCTGCACAATTTGGAATTCTCAGTCAAGACTTCCTCACTGCCTCCTTTTTTATGTTTACTCCTATGAGTATACATAAAGTCTAACAAGGTTTAACTGGAGTTGTTTTTCTGCTCATTCCTCACTCCCCCCTCCCGCCCCTTAGCAGATGACATCAAGCCATGCCCACGATGCAGTGCTTACATTATCAAGATGAATGACGGGAGCTGTAACCACATGACCTGTGCGGTGTGTGGCTGTGAATTCTGTTGGCTCTGTATGAAAGAGATCTCAGACTTGCATTACCTCAGGTGAGCTGAAAATGTGTCCATTGCTTTCATAGTCTTACTGACTGAGGGAAAAGGATGTCAAAAAGATATCCTATATAATAAAGAGGTAATACACAAATTGACCCTCACTACAACACACAAGATGGGCACCACAAGATGGGCAGAGGGCCGAAACTGGTTTGGCTCAGTGGATAGAGCATCGACCTATGGACTGCAAGGTCCCAGGTTCGATTCCGGTCAAGGGCATGTACCTTGGTTGCAGGCATATCCCCAGTAGGGGGTGTGCAAGAGGCAGCTGATCGATGATTCTCTCTCATCGATGTTTCTAACTATCCCTCTCTCTTTCTCTCTGTAAAAATAAATAAATAAACAAACAAACAAACAAACAAACAAATAAATAAATAAAATATATATATATAAAAAAAGATGGGCAGCAGGGGAGGGCAGTTGTAGGTGATGAGGCCTGCAGGGGAGGGCAGTTAGGGGCGAGCAGGCTGGCGAGGAAGGGATGTTAGGGGTCACCGGATCAGCAGGGGAGGGCAGTTGGGGACGGCCAGGCCTGCAGGGGAGCAGTTAGGCATCGATTAGGCTGGCAGGGGAGTGGTTAGGGGGTGATCAGGCTGGCAGGCAGAAGCAGTTAGGGGCAGTTTGTCCCCAATCTACTTTTCTGCTTTTTCTATTTTGTTTTCGTAATGCTGTATTCCAGATACACAATCTAGGCTTGTGTTCCCTGTGTCTTTCTGTGCTACCTTACCTCTCCATACTTGTTTTTTTTTTGTTTTTTTTTAATATATTTTGTTGATTTTTGTACAGAGTGGAAGGGAGAGAGATAGAGAGTTCGAAACATCAATGAGAGAGAGTCATCGATCAGCTGCCTCTTGCACACCCCCTACTGGGGATATGCCCGCAACCAAGGTACATGCCCTTGACCGGAATCGAACCCCGGGTCCGTCAGTCCCCAAGCCGACGCTCTATCCATTGAGCCAAACCGGTCCCGGCTCCATACTTGTTAACAAAATTCTTTACCTTGCCTGAAATGCTTTCTGATCACCTCTCCCAGCAACCCTATTTTTAAAAAATGTTTGTTTGCTTGTTTATTTATTTTAGAGGAGAAGGAAGAGGGGGGAGAGAGAAACATCAATTAGTTGCTTCCTGCATGCACCCCAATCAGGGATCAAACCCGCAGCCTGGGCACGTGTCCTGATTAGGAATCAAACCCACAATTTGTTGTTGTGCAGGATGATGCTCAGCCAACTGAGCCACACCAGCCAGGGCACCAGCAACCCTTTTTTATCTCAACCTGTTCAGTTCTTACCCACTCTTCAAGGGCCACTTAAATGGTATTTCATCCGGGATGCCTTCCCCGGCCTTTTCTGCCTCATTTTTCATTGATTGTCCTTAAATGTTTCTTTCTGAATATCATCATTACTTTTACTTCATGTACATGTCTAATTTTGCTAAACTATATTAATTCTTAAGGCTAGAATTAGACTTAAGAATTTCTAGTTCATTGCATATATAAGTTTTCAAAGAATTTATTGAGTGAATATTAAAATATTGTCCTGAAGGAGTTAATATTTTAAAATTTAATACTTGTGCGGATGAAACACTTTGATTTCTAGTTTAGCAAACATTTGAGTACTTATAGTCTACCAATTAATAGAGATGTAAGGGTGGATAAGATATAATCCCTCTTTTTCAAAATTGTTTATCCCATCTGGTAGAGAAGACAGGACAAAAGAAGAAAGTAAAAATGGCTGAACTTGCCCTAGCCAGTTTGGCTCAGTGGATAGAGCGTCAGCCTTCGGATTGAAGGGTCCCAGTTTCAATTCCAGTCAGGACACATAACCTCAGTTGCAGACTTCTCCCCAACCCAGGCCCTGGTGCAGGAGGCAACCAGTCAATATGTTTCTCTCACATCAATATTTCTTTGTGTCTTTCCATCTCCCACTCTCTCTAAAAATCAATGGAAAAATAACCTCAGTGAGATTTAAAAAAAAAAAAAAAATGGTTGGACTCAAAAGGGGTGAGTGTAAAAGTGGCCAAACTCAGAGTATGAAACTGACAAAAAGGCTGTGAAAATGTATTTTTATGTCCATTCCTAGAAATATGGTTTGCTATATCTATTGGCTATAGTAGAACATATGCCAAGAAAACTTTTGCAAATTAGTGTTCAGTAGCAGCGAAGCACAATGCAGTTTGAATGAGGTGTCAAGTGTGTAGGTTAGGCAAGATCCCAAGTAGTATCAGTCAAGAAAGCTGGGTCAGTATTGGTGGGTTAGGGAGGATAGAATTCAGAAAAGAAAAGAGATCTCCAGTCTGGAGGTCTGCCTTTACAAAAAATAAAGTGCCCAGAGCTGCAGTAGTCTGGCCTTGTCCTTTGTTCCCTCATGTAATATATTCATTTCCTGTAACTTCTTCTAACTGTTAACCACTCCTATTGAAAAGAAGGTTCTTGCTCTTATCAAGACATCTAGTGACAACAGCTGCATTTATTGGTAATATTGACATTCATTTCAATGCTTCCTCTGCAGCCCCTCTGGCTGCACATTCTGGGGCAAGAAGCCATGGAGCCGTAAGAAGAAAATTCTGTGGCAGCTGGGCACATTGATTGGTGCTCCGGTGGGGATTTCTCTCATTGCTGGCATTGCCATTCCTGCCATGGTCATTGGCATTCCTGTTTATGTTGGCAGGAAGGTAAGACATTGAGTTCTGTGCGTGTTCCATTTTCAGGTTTGTTGGTAAAGGTTTGAAGGAAATGGGGGAAGGGGAAACTATATTTCAGAGCTGCCTGAAAACCAGCTGGTTCTTGGATAAAAATAAACTTAATTTCGTAAGTGGATTTTCATAAACCCCCAAGAGATCTGAAAGTTCTTATTAACATCCTGGGCCTGGTTTGTCTCAGTCTGTGACTTAAAGGTGAAATGCTTACTTCGTCCTCCTGAGTTATTTTGTCTCTTCTTGGTTTAACTTGCTCTATATTTATATCATCCTCGTCTTCTTAGGTTAAAAGTGAAAAAGATGCTTCTTTGGGGTGGAGGATATTTTTAATATACAGAACTTATTTGGGGGATATTCACAAGTTCTTTTACTTCCTTGGCAAAAAGATTGATGTCCTAACCTGTGACCTGGATTTTTTTCTTATTCTTAGATTCATAGCAGGTATGAGGGAAGGAAAACCTCCAAACACAAGAGGAATTTGGCTATCACAGGAGGAGTGACTCTGTCGGTCATTGCATCCCCAGTTATCGCTGCAGTTAGTGTTGGTAAGAAGCTGGCCAGGACCATGACTCCTCTTCCGTCTCTCCTCTCCTCTCTTCTTCCCCATCAGCTTTCTGACTATAGCATGTAACCAACGGGCCAGATGTTTCACCCTGAGGGCCCCTGTATTTTATACCAATCCCACCGTGGGAGTTAATTCTGTTAGGTACCATTATTCTGATTATCAACCACACTATCAGAGTTAGGAAATCTTTCCGAGAAGGTTGAATTAAAGACTATTATTTTAAGGCCTAGTTTTTCACTTTTAGTTTCTTTTTTTTCTCCACTCGCAATGGAACCCACAAAACAAATTACTTTTATTTTGATTTGCTTAATGCCTCACACTATTTTGGGGAAGCATGAGGGTTTGTTTCAGAAGAACAGTCATGTAACTAACATTTATTGAGGCTTGCCATGTGCCAGAAGCAGTTCTGAGTGTTTTATATGAATTAACTCATTTAGTCCTTCCAGCAGCATAATTGTAACAGAAAGGGGCAGCCGTTTTCCCAAGGCCACTTAACTGAGACAGAAGTGAAGGCACTCTGACTTCTGAGCCTATGCCCTTTTTTTTTTTTTTTTTAATATATTTTATTGATTTTTTACAGAGAGGAAGGGAGAGAGATAGAGAGCTAGAAACGTCGATGAGAGAGAAACATCCACCAGCTGCCTTCTGCACACCCCCTCCCGGGGATGTGCCTGCAACCAATGTTCATGCCCTTGACCGGAATCGAACCTGGGACCTTTCAGTCCGCAGACCGACGCTCTACCACTGAGCTAAACCGGTTTGGGCTGAGCCTATGCTCTTAACAACTCAGCCTTTGTGCCTCACCTAGCAGTAAGATTTTGGAATTAACACTGGGGTGATCCTAACGCCAAGAGTCACTTGTTTATTATTTGGTTATTGATTTGTTTTTGGATTAGCACTTCAGCAGGGGAAAAGTTAAAGCAACATACACTTATTGTGCTGGACACTGTACATACATCCCCTTTTGATCGTTGACAGCCCTGGGAAAGTAAGTTGTAGCCAAGATTTTAATCTAAGCCTTTCAGATTCTGGCCAGTTGTCATTCTGTTAGGACCAGTCTGCCTCTTTGGACAGCCATCTTCTTTCTGCCTTTCCTTGGCCCTTTCTAAAGTGGTTTGTCTGTCCCAGCTCAGGCTGGGAAGGAGAATTTAGGACAGTTGCAACCTGATGGCCTGCTGACATGTTTCCTTACCTTCCTCCAGGTATTGGTGTCCCCATTATGCTGGCTTACGTCTATGGGGTTGTGCCCATTTCTCTCTGTCGTGGAGGTGGTTGTGGAGTTAGCACGGCGAATGGAAAGGGAGTGAAAATTGAGTTTGATGAAGATGATGGCCCAATCACAGGTAAAAGGAGGATTTTCATTCCCTTTGGAATTTATGGAACACAAGATAAAAATCAGTAAAATTCAGCACATTTGCAGAGAGATTGCTATTAGATTACTTCAGATAAAGAGCTTTGTAGGGGGCAAAGTATTTTTAGCTTTTCATTTCTTTGTTCTAGAGTTATTAGGTTAATTCCTCTGGTACTTGCTTCTGTGTGGCAGGTACAAACTTGTAGGATTCCATGGACCCTGGTAATAGTAGTGATTATAAAAAAGTCTTAAATCTTCACAGTACTTTATAATTTTCAGGGGAACTTACACAGTTATTATCTCACTTGGTTTCTTACAACTTTCTAAGAAGAAAGGGTGGGGGCTCTTATTCCCCACTTAATGGGAACTCCTTTAAGCTTGTGTCTCAACATCTATTAAATGGGTTTAAGAGCTTCTTCAGAGCTGGGATCAGAGCAAGTCTTCTGACTTCTACTTTAATGTTTCCACTTTATCACGGAGTTCCTCACAGGTTTTTCAAGCTTCCTACTAGAATCAGCACATGACCTAAAATGTATTATGAAATCTTCATGTTTGATTAGCTGGCATCTATGGACTTGGAATCAGAATTTTTGTTTTGTGTGACTAGCCATGATGTGGACAAGTTATTTAGTTCTAAGCTTATGTTCCCCTAAAATTGGGGCTATTAGTGCCTAGTTATTGGAGAGATTATATACAAACAAGAGGCCCACTGCATGAATTTGTGCCCAGGTGGGGTCCAGCAGCCCACGCTGATTGGGGGTGGGGCCGGCTGTGGGGAGGGGCCTCTGTGGTTGGCAGCTGGCCCCACCTCCTGATAGAACTCCTGGTGGAACTCCCAGTTGAGGGGACAATTTGCGTATTAGCCTTTTATTATATAGGATATGTAGTAAAAGCCCTGGTGTTTGGTGGCTGCACATAGTAGCTGCTCATTAACTGAATAGATAAGTATTTTTCTATGTGAATATTTTCTAGCCTGAAGAGTCATTGCAGACTGTTGATGCTGTGCTATCTTGAATTGTGATCTTGGTTTCCATTCCCAGTGGCAGATGCCTGGCGAGCCCTTAAGAACCCCAGCATTGGAGAAAGTAGCATTGAAGGTCTGACCAGTGTCTTGAGCACCAGTGGCAGCCCTACAGATGGGCTCAGTGTTATGCAGGGCCCATACAGCGAGACGGCCAGCTTTGCAGCACTCTCCGGGGGAACTCTGAGTGGTGGCATCCTTTCCACTGGCAAGGGAAAATACAGCAGGTAAGCAATAGGTAATTTCTGGCAGCCAGTTGGAATTACAACACAGCATTACCTGTATGAGCCATTTTCCTATGCCAGGCATGTCCCGCGAATCATCTGATTTTGATTTAATCATCAGTGGGGTTTTTTTGTTTGTTTGTTTGTTTGGGTTTTTTTTTTCAATTGGAAAACAGACTCAGAAAGGTTAAGTGACTTATAAAAAGTTCAGTGTTCTTTCCACTTATTTCATGTAAAGAATAATAATTAGATCCTCCATCTACTATATTAGGCTGCCTGCTTCATAAAGGGAAAGAATGCATTTTTTGTAGAATTTCCAAGACTTTGTTCTCCATTAGGCTGAACAGTATTGTCACTGGCCTTCAGTTGAGCAGCATTTATGCTGTATCTTGTTGGCTTATTGGTCCTGTCCTCTTTGTTACCTTCCTATTCCCGTTTGGTAGATAAAGAGAATTAATTCTGTGAACTTGTGTTGAGAATATCTAAAACTTTATGACTAAAAAAAGTGGCGACTTGCTTGATTAGTTCACCAGTCAGACTAATGAAGGCATAGTTAGAGGAACTTAACAGCTGTTACTTGAGAAGCAATTAGTGGAGACCGAGGCCTAGGGAGGCCTAGAAGGGGGCGGGGCGAGGCAAAATAAGTTAGGGAGACTGGGGAGATGGTTACTTTCAGATATCTGATGGGCCTTGAGCTGGAAAAAAAGAATTAAACTTCCGACTCATGCCAAGACGTAGATTAAGATGACATGGCTAGAGGAAAACCGACTTTGTTTCAGTGTAGAGAATATAGGGAACATCTCTATAAGAGTCCAAAGAAGGAATAGATTACCTTAGTAAATACTTAGCTACCTAGTCTTGAAAGTGTTTAAAGCCAGAACAGATGACATTTTGGCTATTAGGAGGTAAGCAACAGATGGCAGATGGACTGGATCCCACATCTGAGAGCTTGTCAGTCACCTGGGAGCCTGTAAAAATAGATTTCAGGGCCCTATCCCAGTATTAGTAAATTAGAATCTCCTGGAGTGGGAATTAGGGGTCTGTGTTTTGGAAAGGCCTGGGAGGGATGGGAGGGGGAAGGTAGGGGAGAAGGTTGCCTTCTATCATAGTCCTTGCACGAATGAGCCCCTGAGAACCACCTAGATAGACCGTCTTTGTGAGAGCTCAGGCTTTTCCATCGCACGGCTTCATTTGCCTGGGCTGTGGAGTGTTGAAGGGCATCTGAAGCCGGAGCAGCACAAGGAAGGTGCTGGCGGCAGGCTGAAGGTTGTGTGAATGTGCAGCTGTAGGCTGCTGCTGACCATTCTGCGTCTCATGACTCTGGCTGTCTCTTGGTTAGGGGATCCCGACCCCACATTCTGGAGAATTCACTGCTGTGCTTTCTTAAAACCAACACCCCTATAAATAAGCAGACAGACATAATTGGAGACTGACTTGCTGAAACTGCAGCTTAGCCAGTCCAGCTGTTCCAGTTCTGTGAAAGCTTTCTATAGGAAGTGAATGAGTCAGTTGGGTTTGAGTGAAACCCATTATGAGGAAATACTTAAGAGTACAACAGGACGGTATTGGAGCCAAGAAAGGAAATAGGTATGAGTTCTTAGCCATGAGACACCTTTGGCAAGGTTTGCTGCTCTTGTAGGAGATTGGCTCTTCTATGTCCTTCAGTTTCATAGCGTGGGGGGTAATTTGCTAAATGTTTGAGTTCCTACCATGTGTAACACATGGAGGGTAAAGTGAATGAGATGCAGTCTTTCCTTTTTGGAGCTCTCAGATGACTGGGAGAGAGATGTGTAAATTGATTAATAAATAGGTAGGTAGGAGCACTTAGCAGGAAGTGACTGGAAAAGTGAGAGAAGATGGTACTTTCTTTGTTAAGGACTATGAGTTTGTCATCTTGAGAAAGGAAATTTCATGAGTGAAAAGTCATGGAGGTATAAAGTGTGAGTAGGGGCCCAGCCAGTGTGGCTTGGTGGTTGAATGTTGACCTATGAACCAGGAGGTTAGGGTTCGATTCCCAGTCAGGGCACATGCCCAGATTGCGGGCTCATTCACCAGTGTGGTGTGCAGAAGGCAGCCAAACAATGATTCTCTCTTATCATTGATATTTCTATCAGTCTCTCCCACTCTCTTCTCTGAATTAAAATTTTAAATGTATATAGGTGTGTAAGGAAAATAAATCCGAGTGATTATGACTTGAGACCTGTGATGAGAGAGGAGTCAGAGCTTGGACACAGATCAGGAAGACCTTAAATGCCTGTTGTCGATAGGGAGCCAAAAGAGGACTTGCTCGAGTGATCAGACCTGTGTCCACATTGGCACTGATCTGGAAGTACTTTGATGTGGATTTAGGGCTACTGCAGAGGGTGCCCACTTCAGTTATCTAGGAGATATTGAAGGCAAGTGAAGCAGTAGCAGTGGGGACAGAAAGGAGGGGATGACTTCAATAGATATTTAAGAGAAGGAATGTGTGGGCATCTATCTTGAGCTGTTTGACAATTGCAGGAGATCAGATCAATTCAGTTTGCAAGAGAATAATGGAAGAGCTGGGTGCCAGGAAGCAGATTGTCTTGGAATACCCAGGTCTCATATTAACGTGAACGTCCCCTCTTTACACAGGTTAGAAGTCCAAGCTGATGTCCAAAAGGAAATTTTCCCCAAAGACACAGCCAGTCTTGGTGCAATTAGTGACAACGCAAGTACTCGTGCTATGGCCGGTTCCATAATCAGTTCCTACAACCCACAGGACAGGTATGTGACCAGTCAGATGCCCAAGAGAGATTGCATTTTGGGGTTAGGTACTAGGCCTTTAGGAGCTCAATGCCTTATGTTAGAGCTATGTGCACCATCTAGTGGGAGATATAACATGTGTACCTGGTGACTTCATTGAGCAAGTTCTTGGCAGCTCTTGATTAATTCTTTTTGTTAGCACTTAATTTTTAGAGGTTTTTTTTCCTTTCTTTTTCCCACCCTTCTCTGAGCTTTTGCAACAGTATTAACTATTCACGTGGAACTTTAAGAGTTAGATTGGTGTTCGTTGATGTTTGTAGTCTATGGCTTCTGCTCTCATGTTGCCCTTGGCTTGCTGTGGCTCCTGTAGCCTATTTCTCTATTTTTGAGAAGCTAGTGTATCTGGTATGGTATGGTTGCAGCACTCCCTTCTGGGGACTTTCTGGCTTCTTCTAATTGTGGCGCAGTAGTAAAAAGCTATGCTGCTTCTTTCACTTTCATATTTGAGTAAGATAGTGTGAGGCTCTGACATTTAGTTAAATTTTAGAAGTACTTTTTTCATTTAAAAAAATTGGCAGATCCCTGGCAGGTGTATGGCTCGGTTGGTTGGAGCGTTGTCCCATGCGCTGGAAGGCCATGGGTTCGATTTCCGGTCAGGGCACATACCTAGGTTGTGGTCTGATCACTGGTTGGGGTGTGTACGGGAGGCAACCAATCAGTATACCTCTCTCAAGTTGATGTTTCTCTCTCCTCTTTCTCCATTCCCCACTCCTCTCTAAAATCAATAAGAAAAAAGAAAACTAGATGATAACAAAAAAAATTTTTAAAGTAATTGGCAGAGGTGTACGTGTGTGTGTTTTAAATCAACAAAAAGGATCTAATTGTTGTTCATCTTGAGTGTTAGGTTAAATTTTTATTTTCGCTAAAAGTGAGCTCTGGTCTATTTACCTATGTTTTTGGCCTTCCTAATCCTGAACCCATAAACTGCTTTTACCACCAGGTATATCATTACCCATGCATGACTCAGCCTAGTGGGTTTGTTTTTACAGAGAATGCAACAATATGGAAATACAAGTGGACATTGAAGCCAAACCAAGCCACTATCCACTGGTGAGTGGAAGCAGCACAGAGGACTCGCTCCATGTTCACGCTCAGATGGCAGAGAATGAGGAAGAAAGTGGTGCTCGCAGCAGTGGCAGCAATGAAGAGGATCTCCCCTGCAAACACCAAAGCTGTGAACAGAAAGACTGCCTGGCCAGCAAACCTTGGGACATCAGCCTGGCCCAGCCCGAGAGCATCCGCAGTGACCTGGAGAGCTCAGATACGCAGTCAGATGATGTGCCAGATCTCACTTCAGATGAGTGTGGCTCTCCTCGCTCACACACTGCAGCCTGCCCCTCGACTCCCAGAGCCCAAGGTGCGCCGAGCCCAAGTGCCCATAGGAACCTCTCTGCCCCGGCTGAGGGGAAGACTGTGCTGAAGCCAGAAGGTGCAGAAGCCAGAGTATGAAGTGGAATGAATGCTCCTGTTCCGAGAAGCACACTTGTTGTAACTGCATTTTTTGGAATTTTTTTGGGGGGTGGGGATGGAGATTTATGTATTTTATTTCAAGGATTCTCTGGTCACAGGTTTTACCCAGGGAAATTCTGAGAAATTTGCAGTTTCTTACAGATAAAACATGGGGAATTTTGCCCTTAGTCCCACAGTCCACCCCTCCCCCTTTTTTAAGTTTTAATTTATTGGTTAAACTAATGTTGGCAATCCGTGAGGTGTGTCAAAGAGTGTACAGATGTATGTGTGTATATTGTATGTATGCTAACATTACTGAAGGACACGTTTTAATAAAGATTTCTGTTGTAATTCAGCTCATCTCGTTCCTTGGCTTGGGTAGTCCTACAGAGCCAAGGGTTTGAAACAGACCACTATTTCTTTAACAGTCTCTAGATATGACTGTTTCTAATCTCAGGAAAAGGGGATTGTATTCTAAGCAGACTGCAGTGGAGGCGTCTATAACTAGGGATTCCAAGTCAGCCAGGCTTCTTTTGGACTGTGTAGTCAGACTGAAGAATTAGCTGAGTCAGCCAAATAGAGAAGCTGTAGATTAAAATGAACCTCGTTTGCCCTCTAGAGGCAGCTGTGCAGTTTTCCTGTTAAAATTTTATTTGCCCTTTTCTGTATTGTAGTCACTACTAGAAATGTGTTTCCAGAATGAGGGCAGGATGGAATGGCAATTCAGTGGCTCTTTAGAGCAATCCCAGTGAATATTGTAGGATTATAAATTGGGAAACAGTATTCTTATTGAAGGAAGTAATGTACTGATTCTGCATAATCTAATCACTAAGCAATAACCTGGGTGTGTGTTAAACTCTCGGGTACACATTCCTTGTTCCAAAAGCTTTCTCGAGTTTTATAAAGTTAGTTTAAGAGGGGCTAAGGAATCTGACTAAAATTTGTCGTGAAAGGACAGTGAAGAAATGCCATCAAAATTTCAACATACTTCATTTTATCTGATCTTATAAATTTGTCAGAATTGAGCTAAATTGGTACTACTTCAGATTTTGGCGCTGTCTAGAATAATGGTCTAAGAAATGAACACTCATGCACAAGTATAGCAGAGGAAGTTAAAGATTCATGAGATGTGATGTAAGATTCCAAATTTGGCAGTAACTTACTTTGTGATTGTGTGAGATGACGGAGATTTCTTGCCCTTAATTTCTCCGGCTCAGACAGTATTTAAGAAACTTCCAGTGCCAAACTTCTCTAGCACCTTAGCCCTGGGCCCAGAGGAAGAATTGCAGATATCCTTTCTCTGAGGACCAGATAGCTTTCTGTTTCCTTTCACAGATGCACCTGCTCTTTGTCTTCCTGGCCTGTGCTTTTCTACAATGAGGATGATGAGTCTGGACAACAGCCAACCTGGAAGATTCTTTTCTCTTGGGCATTGCAGCCAGACTTAACACATTTCTCTGCACCTGGAACTGGAAATGCTGTCCGTGGACTTTGGGGCTTTGGAAAAAGGCATCCTACAGGGTGTCCATGTGTGTGAAAAAGGAAGCCTGTTGGAGGAAAAAAGGCAGACAATCTGAAATGCAAATTATTAACTCTCCACTTGCAATTCTCTTGAAGCCTCAGGAGAGCAATTAACCTGGATAAAAATCAAGGAAGTCTGTTGGAGGGGCAAGAGTTTGCAACCAAACCTGTAATCTTACCTGGGTCCCACTTCTTATTGCTGTGAGACTTTTGCAACTTACTCTGAGTCTGTTTTCACTTCACTGGAAATGGCGATAATGATTTTAATTATGGGGTTGTAAAAACTGAGATGGTTGTAAAGATTAAGACTGAAAATGCTTTTGGTAAGAGCCCACACTTTTTCCTCCTGCAGGAACAAGAAATAAGGAAAGGGAGATTATGAGTGTCTTCTAAGACAAGCCCAAAGCTCTAGACCAGAGGTCACAGGAAACTAAATTTATTCTAATCCTTTGCAATACTCATGTTGTGTCTTCTAGGCATTAGCAGATGAAAGACCTTTCACCACCACTAGGAGACTAGGAGTTGTTGGTCCAGTTATTTATTTATTTTTAATGACTTGAGGGAGGGAGAGAGACAAACATTGGCTTGTTGTTGCCCTGACCAGGGACCAAACCCACAACTTTGGCATACCAGGATGATGCCCTAACCAACTGAGCTACCCAACCGGGACCTAAAAGTGGGTTAGTTTAGAATGTAGGGAATGTTTTAAGTAGAGCTTTCATTCATACCTACTGTGTTTCAGGTATACTGTGCATTAATGTGGAAAACAAAAGTCTGTCCCCGTGGAACTAACATCATAGTGGGGAAAAGTGATCAGGTACATACTCTGGATGAGGGTAAGTGCACTTAAGAAAACAAAGCAGGGAAGGTGGAGAGAGTTGCAGGTGGTGGTACTATCCATCTAATTATTTAGAAGATAGCATAGGCCTCTTCAACAAGGTAACATTTTACCAGAGTCCTGAGTGGAGTGAGAACCATTGATACCAAGCATGAAGAATAAAGTACAAAGGCCCTTTGGTAGAGCATCCTTAGTCTGCTTACTTACACACACACACACACAAAGTGGACCAAGGAGGAGAGTAGTAGATTAGATTGAAGAGGTGTTTGAGAACAAGATGTGTAGATTAGCAAAACAACACTGAAGATAAGGAGATATTAGTTTCCTCTCAGGCCCGGAAGAGATATCTTTGAAGCCAGACAGATGGGCTCTTGTGGTCAAATTTCAAAGGGGCTAACGCTGAAAGGGCATATCTGGTCACACTTTGCCAGTCCTACTTTGGCCAATGGAAAGAAACTGGACTTGGGAAATGGGTACTTATTTATTCCAACCTCTTTCTAATGTACTTTTTGGGACCTAAATGGTCTCTGTGGTCTACTAGTTAGAATAGAGCCTTATGGGGTATTAATAGGTGAATCATGTCCCCCAAAATATGTTGGAGTCCTAACCCCAATACCTCAGAATATAACCTTATTTGGAAATAGGGTTGTTGCAGGTGTAATTAAGATTAAGTCATACTGGAGTAGGATGGGCCCCTAATCCAATATGATTGGTGCCATATAAAAAAAAAGGAGATTTGGACACAGAAATAGGGAGAACACCTGGTGAAGATGAAGGCAGAGATCGGGATGATTCAGCAGAAGCCAAGGGGTGCCAAAGATGGCCAGCGAAACATCCAGAAGCCAGAAGAGAGGCATGGAACAGACTCTCCTATATAGTGCTCAGAAGGAACCGACCCTGCAGACACCTTAACCTTGGACTTTTAACCTACAGAACTGTGAAAAAATAAAATAGTGTTTAAGCCACCCAATCTGTGGTGCTTTATTACAGCATACCTAGCAAACTAATATATGAGGGTCAAGTCATTTATTTTTTAAAGTATATTTTTATTGATTTCAGAGAAAAGGAGAAGGAGAGAGAGAAACATCAATGATGAGAGAGAATCATTGATCAGCTGCCTACTGCGTGCCCCATACTGGAGATCAAGCCTGCAACCTGGTCATGTGCTCTGACCCTGAACTGGTTCATAGGTCAACATTCAACCACTGAGCCACCACGGCTGGGCAGGAGTCAAGGAATTTAAAAGGAATTCCTGGGTCTGTTGCACATATCCATCCCGTTATTATTCCCAGTTCCTGTACTTACAGTGGTACTAGGCCACTGGCAGGACCTTCACCCTGACACATGGTGTGAACGCTGTGTAAGAACCAAGAAAGACTCCAGAACTGTTCTTCCCCACCGGAATCATAAGCCAAATGCCACAGTGCATCCCTGAGGGAATAGTAGATGTTACCACCACCATCGGAGACTGAGAAATTCAGGAGTGGTGACCCCTATCTGTTCACATTTCAGTCATTTGCCCTGTACAGGACATGCTTGTAGCTGTTCTTTCAGATTCCTCTTTATAAAGCAAACCAGCACGTCGCTGGCACCTGCAGCCATGCAACTATTGACCTGGAATATGCTCTTTCCCTCTCCCCCAAAGCGCAGAAAACATGAAACGCAGAAAACATGAAACGCAGATCACTTCCACCTGTCGGGGGCAGCAGTCCGTCCTGCTGTTGTACATCTGGCTTATGTCAGCTCACCAGCTCTGTTGAAATCTCATCTGCAGGCACTTTAATCATCTCACATTTAGCAGCAGGACATCACTCGACATGTTTTTGGATCTAATAAGAAGTGGCAGGTATGTAAATGCCTTGTTTAAAAAGAAAAACAAAAACGTGTGTGTTAGAGGATAGGCAATAATCCTGTAGAAACTTACAACTCTGGAGTTTCTTGGGGTCCAGAGGAGTCCAGAACGTGGCAGGTAATCTAAAGTGAAGGATGAGCTGTTGCACTGTACACCCCCCACCACTAAGAAAAACTCTGAGCATTCGATGGATCGTTTTTTGGTTGTTGTTTTGTTTTTTTGGGTTTTTTATTGATTTTTTACAGAGAGGAAGAGAGAGGGACAGAGTCAGAAACATCGATGAGAGAGAGAGATCGACCAGCTGCCTCCTGAACACCCCCCACTGCAACCAAGGTACATGCCCTTGACCAGAATCAAACCTGGGACCTTTCAGTCCTCAGACCGACGCTCTATCCACTGAACCAAACCAGTTTTGGCGATGATGGATCACTTTTGATTTTAGAGTTCACATTACCACATTTGGTTATGCTGCACTGACCTATTTATCAAGTAATCCATAAGGCCACCAGCTTTGATGGGCCCCTGAAAAGAGAATGGCCAGCAGTGAGTACAGGCTTCAAGGCAAGCCGTTTGGTTTTATGACAGCAGATCCAGTGGGGTGCAAAGTCCCTGGGCAAATAAGGATACAAGATACACACTGTGGCAAACTTTCATCAGAGAGTCGCTGAGCCTTATGATTTGGGAGTGAAGCCACGCTATTTCTGACAATGGCTATTCTCTCACTACTGAGCCCTGCTCCATGCTCTGAGGGGACCGGCTGGGCACTCAGCAGCAGTCAGATTATATCGG